CTCCGGCATCCCCATGGTTACACACCATGCGAACCACCCAAGCTAGTAAGCATGGTTATACACCATGGGAACCACCTAAGCCACCCTATGGCGCACTCCCTAAGTCGCCTCCTTGGTGCACCACCAAAGTCTGCTCTAACGGTCCAACACAACCATACAGTGTCTTCACCAACGGTCTGACATGACCATACAGTGTCTCCTATCCTATTTTATTTTATGTATTAGTTTATTTTTCTGTTTTGTTACTCTCTCCAAACTCAAGTTGGTTTGTGCCTATCTTTCTTGAGTTTGAGGGGGGTTGTTAGTATATTATTATATGTTAGTGTTTAGCTTTAATAATTAGTGTTCCCTTGCTTTAGCCTTTCGGTGGCCACTTACAAGCTACTTGATGCAACTACTCTCTTCTATAAAGGAGAGAGAGAGAGAGAATCAATTATGTATGTATTAATGTATTGAATGTTATGTTTACAAGAATAATTAGTGTTGCCTTGCTTTAGTCTTTCGGTGGCCACTTACAGGCTACTTGATGTAACTACTCTCTTCTATAAAGGAGAGAGAGAGAATCAATTAACATTCAATACACTAACATATAATAATATACTAATACCCCCCTCAAACTCAAGGAGGATAGGCACAAACCAACTTGAGTTTGGAGAGAGTAACAAAACAGAAAAATAAACTAATACATAAAATAAAATAGGATAAGAGATACTGTATGGTCGTGTCAGACCGTTGGTGAAGCCACTATATGGTTGTGCCGGACCGTTGTAGCAGCTAACCGGAATCAATGTTGGGACAGTTTACAAGGTCATGCCGGACCGATGTAGAAGCTAACCGGAATCAATGTCGAGACAGTTTACGCGGTCATGCCGGACCGATGTAGAAGCTAACCGAAATCAATGTCGGGACAGTTTACGGGGTCATGTTGGACTGTTGTAGAAGCTAACCGAAATCAATGTCGGGACAGTTTACCGGGTCATGCCGAACCGATGTAGAAGCTAACCGGAATCAATGTCAGGACAGTTTACGGGGTCATGCCGGACCGTTGTAAAAGCTAATCGGAATCAATGTCGGTATAGTTTATGCGGTCATGCCGGACCGTTATAGTAGAGTTTGGTGTTGCACCAAGGGGGCAACTTAGGGAGTGCGCCATAGGGTGGCTTAGGTGGTTCCCATGGTGTATAACCATGCTCACCAGCTTGGGTGGTTCGCATGGTGTGTAACCATGCTCACAATGATATATGTAGAATACCGCCCCTCAAACTCAAATAGGTTTGAAGATAGAAGCCTATTGGAGGTTGAAACAAAGGGATTGATAAAGTGGAGCGGAACGACTCAACACAGAGTGGAGATGTTAAAAAAAAAATGGTAGAAATGTTTTTTTTTTTTTGGTGGAATAAAAAAAAGATAATGGAAAAAGGGATAATGCTTACCAACTGAGATGTATAATAATGAAATATTGATGGACAAAGAAAGATAGAAAAAATAAAATAAAATAAAAGGAAGGTAGTGGGAACAGGAATCTGGAAAAGCTCACCAACGAAGTGTTAAAATAAGGAAATCTTGAGAGAGAAAATGGATGATTTTTATTTTTATTTTTATTTTTTTTTTGAATGGAAAAAGGAAGATAAAATAAATAAAGTTGGGGGTAGTGGGATCAGACTGCGGGTTCCTGAAGCCGTGGGTTGAAAATAATAATGATGTGGGGGTGAAAAAGGAAATAATGTGGGGGAATGGGATAAAATAAAATAAAATATAAAATCAGTGGGGAATGAGGTTTCTAGTGAGCAAGAGGAAGAGGATTACACTGCAAGACCAGGCGTCGGCCTTTGCGCCGTCGTAGCCGCTGCCACGAAAGGCTTCCGGGGAGGTGTATGCCAGAGTTCCGTAGGCGGGTTGGAGCATCTCGCGGTGGAGCTGGTTTTCCGACAAGGCGGAGAGGCCGAACTCGGAGATTCTGGTCAGAATTTGGTCAGAGTTTGCGGTGGAACAGACCATAGTGGCACCGATTGTGGCCGTTGTAGGCGACTTCTGCCGCTGTGTGTGGCCACGGTACAAAAAGATCGTACCAAGAGTTGCAAACGAAAAATAAGTCCCTCTGGAGCTGGAGCTGCCGTGGGGATGTCGGAGCTGGAGAACTTGGCCTTCGGTGAACAAGTTGTGAAGCTGCCACTGGGAGGGGTGGTTGTGGAGCTGCCGTGGGGATGACAAGACCATACAGTGTCTCCTATCCTATTTTATTTTATGTATTAGTTTATTTTTTTGTTTTGTTACTCTCTCCAAACTCAAGTTGGTTTGTGCCTATCCTCCTTGAGTTTGAGGGGGGCTATTAATATATTATTATATGTTAGTGTTTAGCTTTAATAATTAGTGTTCCCTTACTTTAGCCTTTCGGTGGCCACTTACAAGCTACTTGATGTAACTACTCTCTTCTATAAAGGAGAGTCCTTTGAACCCTGCAAACATAACATTCAATACATCAATACATACATAATTGATTCTCTCTCTCTCCTTTTTTATACATTATTCTAACATGATCTATTATAGTTTCCCATGTTTTAATTATCATATATATATGGTACCTAATCAAAAAAACAGCGACATTCAAAATATCAGAGACAGAGAAAAGAAGAGGGCAGCGACCGAAATAGAGGGTCGCGATCTGTTGCGGCCCAACGCTGCTATGTCGTTGGCATTCGGCGGCGCGAGAGAGCAATAGGGAGAGGAAGAGGGAGAGGGAGAGGGAATACATACAAAATATCAGAGACAGAGAAAAGAATAGGGCAGCGACCCAAATAGAGGGTCGCGATCTGCTACGGCCCAGCGCTGCTATGTCGTTAGCATTCGGCGGCGCGAGAGAGGGAGAGGGAGAGGGAGAAGGAATACATTCAAAATATCAGAGACAGAGAAGAGAGGAGAGTAGCGACCCAAAGAGAGGGTCGCGATCTACTGTCGCCCAGCGCTGCTGTGCTTTTCGCATTCGGCAGCGCGAGTGAACAAGAGGGAGAGGGAGAGGGAGAGGGAGAGAGGAAAGAAAAAAGAGCATACCGTGTTGTCAGAAACGGAACCATGATTTCATCACTGGAGGGGCCAAAAGACAAATAAATTTTTTGTACTATATACATATGCACGCATGTATGTACAATATGATATATAAATTATGTATATACACAAAAAAATTCAAATACCACAGAAGCAATTTCTGATAGGATAAAGTTTTTTGGGTACAAAATAAAAAGAGAGCACAAGATAAGAGAAAAATGAGATATATATTTTTTATATTGGGGGGTCATTTTATGTATAAAATGAAATATATTTTTAAAATACTATGACAAACCATATTTTTCACAGAAACTGGGGGGCCATGGGCCCCCATAGTCTTCTCCTAGTTCCGTCCCTGCGTGCTGTGCCGTCTCTGATGCAGTGAGAAATGAGATGGAAAAGTGATGGTCCATCGTTTCATTATTCACCCAAAATATTCAATCAACTATTTTTGGCAATAACTATTTTTGGCAATAAAAAGTTTGGGCAAGACAAATAATTTATTGGCAACCAAATTAATTTGATTGCCATAAATATTATTCAGATTTTCGGCGACTAAATAGTGTTTATCGCCAAACAAATTCAATTGGTGACTAAAATTTCCGTCATCATAAATTAATTTGTTCGTCAAAATTTTTTTAGTGCTCTAGCGTAGAATTTTCATGTTGTCGCCAAACTCAACAGTGACCAAAAATTTAAATTCGTCGCCAAAAGTTTAGTTTTTAGAGACCACAATATTCTGTCGCCAATTATGTATCATTGGTGACTAAATTTTTGTTTGGTTGCTAAACGTCGCCAAAAATGCTTTTTGTTGTAGTGAAAGTTGTTGTGCCTCGAATTCGGCATCCCATTTGGGTGAATTTGTTGGTTTAGGCACCTCAGTCCACACTACCACGCCATTTCGCGTCGCTGACCACTATATTTGTTCCCTCAATATGTATATATATATATATTTCGATCCATTGCAAGACCATCGTGTTTAGTCCAAAATCAACAATACTGGATTATAAGCATGTATGCACTTAAGGTTCCTAACAATCAATCAGTCCAAACATCTATTTTTCAAGAATCGACATTCTCCAAGCAAGATGGCACAGTATGTATATATATATATATAATAAAGAGTAGAAATCACTGTCTATTGAGATTTTTTTTTGTTTAAAAAAAATGTGTATAGAAAAAATTCTGATATAATATTGTGCGTATGTTTTGATGTCCATTGTAGTGATTTTATTTTTGGACACAATTATCATTAAAATAAAATTTCATTAAGTATACAAAGAGATAAATAAATATATGAAAATAAAATTTTTCAACATTTGTATGATAGGGTTGTATTCAGTTTTATAATCAAATGTCTAAGAAAATTCTGATATAATATTGTGAGTGTGTTTTGATGTCCATTGTAGTAATTTTATTTTAGGACACAATTATCATTAAAATAAAATTTCATTAAGTGTGCATAGAGATAAATAAATTTGTGGAAATAAAATTTTTCAACATTTGTATGATAGGGTTGTATTCAGTTTTATAATCAAATGTCTAAAACAAGTAAGTTAGTTGAAACCTCAAAGGGTTAGTGGCTTGAGACCTGAGCTTAGGGTCTACTCTCTTTACGTCTTAAACTCGATTTTCCCAATCAACATAAAATCCTTGAGATCGCAAAGAGCAGGAAAATCTATTTCGAAATGCTTGTTTGAACTTAGTGGTCCATCCTGCATAACTTGAATATATATATATATAAAAGTTAGTTGATAAAGGGCTACGTGTTAGACCGGTGACCAATTCCAAAGTGATGACAGATGAAGTCTTCCCCATGCATGGCATACAGGTGTCTTCTCCATGCCACCAACTTACTCCATCTGTCAAATTACATATGTATATATGATATGTTCATTATCTATATCTCTAGAGTTTTTGTTGCATTGCACTGTCTACATGCATGCAGTCTCACCACAATGTCCACTCTCTCTTCAATCTCATGCAACGTCATCATCAAGAAAACAATCCCAGTCTACATATCTACTAAATTAATAGTGTCCTATAATGCTGCAATTTCTCATAAAACCTCAAAACATATCTCTGTTTCAGGCCACCAGTGGTTAACCCAAAACCTAACTGACCCACCATCAAAAACTCCGCCGGAGTTCCCTTCGCCGCCCGACACCAAACCTTTTGTGCCGCCAGAGGTGCCTCGGAATGTTCCGGATTTTGACCCGGTTCCACCAGAGAAGCCCGCCAACCCTCCGCCGCTGTCACTCGGACCGAACCCGGAATTTCCTGGCCCACCAAATCCGGAGCTGCCGGTTAAGGATGAACCTCGTCTGCCAATGCCACCGAGTCCGGAATGGCTGCTGGAGGTGTTTCCGCCACGTGCACCGGAGGTCATACCGCCGAAGCCACCGGAGGTGGGGCCACCGCACCCATTACAGCCAGATATTCCACCACCTGTGTCCAGCTGATTCAAGTGAAGATTCACTTTTCAAAATCAGTGTGACAATCTATTAGAAAATCTAAAAGAATTTTCTCTTTTATACATCCTTTAATTATCAGTTAATTATATATTTTACATATCATTAAATTTAAAAAATAGATTTACATATCAAATTTTTTTTTTTTTCAAAAATATTTTTTTTTTTTTTGAATTATTTGGTTTCTGGGGTGTGGAGGGGTTCGTGTAAGACGTTTGAATTCATGTGCATATGCTTCATGTGGTTTTCATTGTTAATCAAAAAGGAAATTTAATCAATTGGGTAATTTTGTATACTAAAATTTTATTCCAAAACATCAATGTATGGCTCTAACTCGTTCTAAACATAGACTTTGCAATACATCAATTAAATTTCAATTTAACAAATTTGTTTATTTATTTGTTTTTTAATCGGTAGAGTAATTACAATAGCTAGAATCCAACAGTTACAAAGCTTAGCAACCATCACTAGCCCAATTTAAGAATGAAATAAATAATTATCACTACAAGAATTTACACATTTGCCGACCACTTTTGCGACCAAAAAAATTTTGGTCGCAAAAAAATGACATTTGGCGACCAAATATTAATTAGTCGCGAATGATCATTACTTTTGGCGACAAAATATTATTGGTCGCAGAAGGTTATATTTTGGCGACCAAAAAATGAGTTGGTCGCAGAAAGTGGTATGCTTTTGCCAACCAACTACAAATTTGGTCGCGGAAGGTCATATATTTTTTGCCGACCAAAAAATTGGTCGTCAAAAACTTATTTTCAGCAACCAAAAAAAATTAGTCGCCAAATTAGTACATTTAGCGACTAATATTTTAGTCGCCGTTGATTGAGATTTGGCGACTAAAAAAATTTGTCGGCGAAGGTACCTTTTTCTACGACTAATATGGTCTCTGGTCACCAAAAGTTTGAGAGGGAAATTTGAAACGTGGAGGTGGGAATTGAAAGCCCTGGCTCCCAAGATCAACAAATAAAAAAAACCAAAAGCCCTTGAAAATCCTACGTGATTTGTGATTAGATCAAGATTAACTTATTCCAAATCCCAATTAATTCAAAACACTTAACCTAAAATCATCAAACACTTACGAGAGTGATTTTAGTTTGTTTGCTTTTGAGAATAAACAATAAATCGACACAAACGATTTTTTACGTGGAAAAAATCACAATTGAAGAATCTTCAATTGTAATAAAAAACCACGGGCGAACCGCCACTATCAATCCACTACTGAAGAACGAAAAGATTACAAAGATACCATACAAATTACCCAACCCAGTCAATTTGTCTCTGAATCTTCTGTAACTCTTTCACCACACCTTCGTCACGGAATTGATCCTGAAGTTGATTCCACACCACAACTTCACTTGTCGAATTAACGACTGCGTAGAATCAAACGCCTTTTGGATTCTACGCTTTAATCTTCGGAATCCACCGAAGAGAACTTACTTGAAACTTAAGAAGCAACCTCCTTGATGTATGAATCTCAATGCATAAGTTCAGAACTCTCTCAAGAACATCAAGGAAAACTATGAAAAATCTCCAAAGAAAACTTTAAACACAACCCTAGTGCTTGTAGATCAGATCTAGGAAAAATTCCTCAAAAAAAACACCCTTAACAGCTTTAAATAGGAATCTGAATCCGCGATCTCCGCTCGAGCTCAACACAGCCAACTCGAGCGAACTAACCAAAAACTGCGTGCGAACAAACTGAGATGCGCTCGAGCGTAGGAGAATCCGCTCGAGCATAAAATCACACCCACCAGTATTTTTTGCTTGCCCTGACAAAATACTGAGACCTGCTAATCTACGCTCGAGCTCACAAGGATCCGCTCGAGCGGACAGAACAAAAACACAAAAAAATACATTTGAATCAACACAATGTTTTGTCTCCGGATTTGACAACATAGGGACCTAACACCAATGATTACTAGTCTTTTAAATATGACATTAGTACAATGAGAATCAAACTTTTTCACTGCAAACTTTGTTTCCTCTGAATCGTTGCCATCTTGCTCTTGAATGATCTTCCATATAATGTAGCTGACGATTGTCTTCATTACATCATATTTCTCTGAGCAAATCATAATGGGAGGATGGATGAGCATCTTCTCTAATAATTGCAAATCATCATATTTCTCTAATGTTATATTTGGTTGGGAGATTTAGGAAAGGATTAGGAAAGGGAAAGAAAAAAGGTGTATGTAACTAGCTGAAATGTAAGTATATTTTATATATATTTCACCTAATTTTTTTATTTCTCTTTTCAAATCCTTCTTCAAATCCCCCAACTAAACACAGCGTAAGCAAATCAAGTCTTTTCTATTGTTTGATGCTCTCAACCATTTTTAGGACGACTGCCTTAATCCTTTGTAATTATTTGTTAATTGACTTTAAGATGTTTTTGTTAAGTTTCAAATGTTTTATTTTATATTTATTAATATTTATTGAAAGCTCTAGTCATGGGTAGGTTTGACCAAGTCTTTGGGTATTTGGTTATTTGATTTCGTGGCTGAGAAAGTGGTATGTGTGATCCTATTTTATAGGAGTTGTGGTTAGTGCTAGGATGTAGTGGTCTGATGTAAAGCCTATTTATAGGCCCTTTTCCTTTATCAATAAAACAAAGCTTTACCATTTCTACACATCTCTTTTGCTTTTGTTTTGACTTTGTATCAGTTTGTTTTAACTCTATATCAGTGGTATCATAGCAAAAACGTGTGAGAGAAAGCAAGAGAGAGAGACAGTTCCCAAACAACATCGATGGCTTCTTATTCAAATTTGTGCAGGCAGCGATCCCACGTTTTGATGGTCATTATGACCATTGGAGTATGCTCATGGAGAATTTTTTACGATCAAAAGAGTATTGGCCGATCGTTGAATTTGGAGTTACAGAACCAGCAACAAATACAGTCTTGACAGATACCCAGAAAACAGAGTTGGAAAGAAGAAAGCTCAAAGATTTGAAGGCAAAAAATTACCTTTTTCAGGCAATTAACCGTCCCATCTTGGAAACAATTCTTAGCAAAGAAACTTCCAAAGATATTTGGGATTCCATGAAGCAAAAATATCAAGGCTCTGCTAGAGTGAAGCGTGCATAGCTTCAAGCTTTGAGAAGAGATTTTGAGACTTTACAAATGAAAAATGGGGAATCTGTCACCAGCTACTATGCCAGGACTATGGAGATCAGCAACAAAATGCGATTTCATGGTGAGAAGATGGACGATGTTACCATTGTGGAGAAGATATTGCATTCCCTAACCCCCAACGTTTGATTATGTCGTATGTTCAATTGAAGAATCGAAAGACATAGATGCATTCTCTCTTGATGAACTGCAGAGCTCCTTGCTGGTCTATGAACAGAAGATGAACCGAAGTTCAACATCAGAGGAGCAAGTTTTAAAGGCTTTTACCTCTACTCATTTCTTCAACTTTAGAGAAAGGGGTAGAGGTCGAGGTAGGGGAAGGGGAGATCGAGGCAATAAAGATGGCATCAGGTATTTCAAAGGTGATGATGATCAATTTCAAGTTGATTCCACACCACGAGATCATCATTTTGACAAATCCAAGGTAGAGTGCTTTAGATGTCATAAATTTGGACATTATCGTTCTGAATGTTATACTAGGCTGCCTAAAGACAAATAAAAGGAAGTGCAATCGAATTTTGCCGAAAAGAAGGAAGTGGAAACCTTGTTAATGGCTGTTCAAGCTAATCAGGAACCTGAGTCTGATGTTTGGTATGTGGATACGGGTTGTAGTAACCACATGTGTGGAAGTAGGTCTTCTTTTTCTTATTTAAATGAAGGCTTTCATTCTACAGTAAGTTTTGGTGATTGTTCCACTGTGACAGTAAAGGGAAAGGGTGATATTGAGATAAGAACCAAGAATGGTTTTGTAGAAACAATCTCTAATGTTCTTTACGTTCCTGACTTGAAAAGCAATTTGTTAAGTGCTGGTCAATTGCAAGAAAAAGGTTATGTAATCACTATTCAAAAGGGTGTTTGTGAGATTTATGATCCTACTAGAGGCGCTATTGCTATTGTGCAAATGAGTTCAAACAGGTTGTTTCCATTGAAGATTGAAAGTGCACAACCTTGTTTGATGACTGAAGTAAAAGATCCTTCTTGGTTATGGCATTTTCGTTATGGCCACTTGAGTTTTGGTGGATTGAAGACCCTCCAACAGAAAAATATGGTGACAGGTCTTCCTCAGATTAGTATTCCTTCCCAAGTTTGTGAAGAATGTGTTGTTGGCAAACAACATCGTTCTCAATTTCCCCAAGGGAAGTCATGGCGAGCAAAAGGTGTTTTGGAGCTAATTCATT